CAGGGTCCTCCAGCACTGTGACACACCCATGCCCATTGGTGCAGGCTTCATTTTATCCTGGAGGACAGGTGGACACACAGCTCCTTCAGTGTGCACAGGGCCCCCACATCTTGTTGCAGGGTGCTCTCCTCACATGTCCTGTGGTTTGTGCACTGTTTCTGCACCTTGGAATCACCTGATCCTGAAGTGTCATCAACTTAATCCATTGTTTCCTACCTATTTAAAAAAAAATTCTAGAACTTGAAGAATATTTTTTAAAGGAGAGGTTTCCAGGAGAAAACTCAGGTAGTTACTTGAGCACCAAATATTTGTTGATCACTGAGTATATAACCAGCCCTGAATGTCGCACCCTTGGATACAGGAATGCTTTCCAAATAGATGCCTATGATGTCATGGTGAATTGTGCAGCTGTGAGAAAGAGTGTACTAGAATGGGGCTTCACAGCATCAAAATTGGAACTGTTTTAATTGAGGTAAGAGAAGGAAAAGCATTCAGAGATTGAGAGGATGAGGATCAAGGAAAAGAGATGGGATGAAGCAAGCAGGCAGGGCTGAGAACCTAAGAGATGTGCCCAGGCTATTTAGAAAATGTAGAACTGCTTCTAAGAATCTCTCTTCAGAAAATGAAAACAAACGTTTCAGTAAAACTTTATTTATGGTAGTCTCAAAATAGTAAAAAAAAAAAATCCAAATACCTAACAATAGATAATTCTTAAATAATTACTGCATAGTCATAGAATGGAATAAATATTAAACAGAAGCTAAACCAAAGATGCTATTTCCCCAAAATGCAAAATATCAAGATGTTTATGATATAATGTTATGAAAAAAATTAAATATCTGTACGAGCCCAGTGTTCTCATAAGCATGCATACACACAGAAGATAGATGAGTGGGGGAATAAACATGAAGGGGTTGGGGGTATGACACAGTGGTGGGGCACTTGCCTAAACTAATATGAACAAGGCTCTGGGCTTCATCCTAAACACATACACACACACACACACACATAAACAATGCATGCAAATATTAGCACAGATGCTTTCTGAGATTATGATATTGGGTTTGGGTTTTGAGGGGTTACTTTCTTTCATGTCTATGTAGTTTCCCAACTCTCTGCAATGGATATGAAATCTAGTCCTCACCTGAAAAAAAATTTACAAATACACATTCACTCAAACACATGTTCACACCTATATTTATACGTATAATGCCATTTTCTTTCACAGCATGAATTCTGTGAAGTCACATGTTATCTTATTAAAATTAGGTGTGTGTGTGTGTGTGTGTGTGTGCGTGTGCGTGCATATAGTGTAACAGAGATTCTAAAATACTAAGCATATGTGGGTCCAATAGGGAAACCTGAGGAAATATTCCCTAGACCAAACCAAGAAGGGACCACATATGTTCAGGGCTTGGGGTCTGGAGGTGGACAAGCAAGAGATCCAATGTTGGCTTCCACTTCCTCCTAACGTGGCTTTGGGCAAGTCATTGATGTTCTCTGAATCTTAGTCTCCTTAGGTATGCCATAGTAATGGGAGGATTTCATGGGATTAAAAACTTGGGCCATGGGAAGTGCTCAATACAGAGGAGCTTTGGTAGAGGGATGGCCGTGGAAGTGAAGGTTCTTACTTGGAACTCTGATTTGCCTTGGACAGTTGTGGATGAAGGGAAGTCTGAGAGGTGCCCCCACCAACTACAGCCAGGCAGATTAGGGAAAGATGCACCCAGGCTTCCTAGAAAGTATGGAACTTCTTTTAAGATTCTGTCTTCAGAAAATTAGAACAAAAGTTTCAGTAAAAATGTTTATGGTAGTCCTGTATAGAGTAATAAAAAAGAAATAAAGAAAACAATCCAAATATCTAACAATTGATAATTCTTAATTAATTGCTGTGTAGTCTTAGAATGGAATTAATATTAAATGGAAACTTAAAACTGTTGAGTTTTAGTGCTGTTGTCTGAGGTACTCTGTGCTATCCTGAGCCATCTGTGATCTGGTTATGTTTAGAACTCTGCTGTCACAAAATGGCACACAACAAGTGACTCCAAGCAAAAAAAGGAGTAGGTAAGGGCTGGCAGTCTTGGATACCATTCTCATTTCCCTCTGGAGATGGTCTCTCAGAGCCAGCAAGCCCTCTATGACACTGGAAACCCACAGTGAATCAAAAACATGAAAAGTCATCATTTTAAAGAGCTGCCTTTCCAAATATTACTCAGCCATAAAAAAAGAATGACTTTATGACATTTGCTGGTAAATGGATGGATCTGGAGACTACCGTGCTAAGCAAAATAAGCTAATCCCCCCAAACCAAAGGTCAAATGTTCTCTCTGATATGTGGATGCTAACATACAACAAGTTGGGGGTGGGAGGAGAATAGAAGTTCATTAGACTAGACAAAGGGGAATGAAGGGAAGGGAGGGGAATGAGAATAGGAAACACAGTAGAATGAGGCAGACAGAACTTTCCTATGTTCATGTATGAATATACCACCAGTGTAACTCCACATCATGTTCAACCACAAGAATGGGATTCTAATTAGAATAAGTTATACTCCATGTATATATAATATGTCAAAAGACACTCCACTGTTATATATATCTAAAAAGAACAAATTTTAAAGTCTATGTAATGCACAAAAAATAAAAGAGCTGCTTTCAGGTGCAAAAGGGTAATTTGGGGCTCATTGTTTGTACAGAACACACCTGTCTTTCAGGAATGCTGTAACTTCTAAGTCTTTAATTTCTATTCAGATCTCCCTTTCCTCCTCAGATCTTTATCAGGCTGATTTGAAATCATTACTGAGTATTCAACACTGTCTTCAGTAAGAGGAAACCCCTTTCCTAGTAGCTTTTGGCAGACAACACCTGTTGCCAGGAATCATGTGAACAACAGTTTTGTTTAGGACAGCATAGCTCTTCAAACTCTTGTAAATATAGATAGTCACCCATCTTACCCATTTGGTCTGTCCCTTCCCTACCGTGTGTGCAAGTGTTCAGGGGAAGGCCAGGGACGTGGGCAGCAGGGACATCAAGAGCCTTGAGGCAGGTGGAACTAGGCTCCACTCCACATTATTGCCAGCCTGGTTTTGATTGTGTAATGTCTCTCAGCTCAGTTTCTTGATCTGGAAATGGATCAGTTTTTTGTAGAGAGTAAATGCAGGTTTTTGTAGAGAGTAAATGAGGTGATGAACATATGTTAAGTGACAGTGTATGGTGAGTACTCAACAATTGGCAACCTGTCTCCAACTGCCTCTGCCTGTACCATGGTCAGGACTGCTGAGACTCCTCTAGCAGCACCATTATCTATCACCTCCTTCAAATTAACTGCCCTGAAGCCCTCCCTACTGGTCAGTAATCACAGATTAGACTTGGGGAGCAATCCTTGCTAGTTTCCAAATACAAAGTCTTTGCAACTTTTTAAACACAAAGTCATCAATAACAATGTTTCAATAATCAGAGAAAAGAACCATAGCAATAGCAATTTATAGATGCAGTCATTCCTTTATTTTTAATCTCTAGAGCTCTCTGCAGTTCAAGCTACTCATTCATTCATACTATTTTTATGTGAATCATCCTACAGATCGCGTCACGAGACAGACAGTGAAAAAGGCAGATGCCATTGTATTTTTTGTGAAATTTCCACTTGAGGAGAAAGCAAATCAAGCAAAAACAAAACAAGAGACATCCCAAAGACAAAAACCTTGGGGGAGAGAGGAGCCTAGGATCAAAGGAAAAGGAGATGTCAGGGCAGATGGAGCGCGGAGGAGAGGAGGGGGGAAGAAGAGGGCAGAGAGCAGGCCAAGGCTGTGTGAGGCCGATCTTTGCTTAGGGGTAAGCACAGGAATGTCTAAAGGTTTAACTGGCTGCTGGCAAGAACATAGATGAGAGGGGAGGTTAGGACCAGTGAGATAAGGACCACCATGGGCAGCTAGGCACTGAATAGGGTGGACAGTGGCTGCCTCAGCATCTCCCTTGTCCCCTTGAGATTAAGGCTTAAACCCAGATGGCATGTGAGTCACCCGGCTTCAAGGCCAGTCACAGTTCTGCCCCTCCCTACAGGAGTGACTTTCTTTATACAGTCTTAACCCTCCTGAGTCTGCATTTTGTGGCCTAGGAGCCACTATTTTGTACTTGGTTCACCTGACAGTCATACAGTTAATAAATATATTGAGAACCTGCCTTGTTCCAGACCCTTTGCAAAGTAAAACACACTGAAATTGGGTTTCTGCCTCCAGACTGTGTGGATTATATTGGCCACCCACCCTAAGGTAGGCATGTTATGGACAGTATAAGTGGTTCTTATAGCCACCTAATATGTTGATTTTCATGTCTGCTAGACAGACATAGCAACTGAGGCTCAGAGAGTCCAAGCAATTTGTCTGAAGTCACAAAGACTCTAAAGCAGGGGGCCACCTGCCTTTTTCCCACAACACCTGTCATGGAAATGGGGACCGCAGTGGCCCATGAAGAAGGCCTCTTTTCAAGGACTAGCTCAGCACAGGATTTAACCACTTTTTAGGGTTCCAGTATTCTGGATGCCTTGCAGGAGTTCCCTACCAGACTTCTCAAAAGACAGATGGCTCTTCAAACCCCACTGCAGTTAGCAGCAATCAGGCAAGGTCTGCTGAAGTTACCTAAACAGGCTCAGGTTTCCTGAATGAACGAGCATCACATTTCAGTTTCCTTAGAGACCTTCATTTACACAGTAAATGAAGTTAAGTGCATTTTCAAATAAAGACTCTAGAAAATTTAAAATTACTCAAAAATCTATGCCCAGTATATTTCTAATTAGAATATACATTAAAATGTATAATTTAAATTAGAAAAGAAAATAACAGGAAAATCATGAAGCATAGCAATTCAAACACTGGCCTCTACCTGCTTGTAGGGCAACAAAAATGTTCACAGAGACCCATATTTTGGAAGAAGAATCAAGTGTGACCTCCAATGCCTCACTGACTTGCACTCCTCCTGCCCCAAGCTTGCCCAGGCCCCACTCACCTGAGAACACCCGACTGTGTTCCCTGCTAGCTGTCCTTCCTGGCCAGGGCTCAGGGCAGGCTGCCTTCTCTCCTTAATAATGCATAAGCTGGTGTCTGGGATTTGTAAATAAAGCACGCCAGGAAAACAGGCATTTCCAAAGTTGCTTACTCAATGGAGGAGAGAGGGAAAAAAAAAGCAGAGTTTGAAGTAGCTGTTGTTTGGCAAAGTTAAAGCAAATCAATAAATGCAGGGACACCACCAACAAAAACTTATCTTGTTTGTCCCAGTTCTTACTCCTCTAGGGTAAAACTTTGTCGCCAGGCAACAAGGCAGTTGGACCTGAAGTTAATTAGCATAATCCTGAGGCCAGCCTAGAAAATGAAAGGACACAAGGCTGAAAGGGGCTCCAGGACACTCAAACTTCCTGTAAGGAGGTCAGGCAGGGCTGGTTTCTTCCCCACGCAGAGTGAGCCCTGGGCCTCTGATCCCTGTGATTTCTGAAATTGGCCTTTTCCTCCCGATTCACACAGCAAGAAGGTTGGAGACGATTAAGGTTTGGGACAAAGAAGAGTTCCTTGCCACCTGCCTAAGAAGGACATTAATCAGAGGGCAAAGCTGTAAAGGTCCCTTTTAAAGGACAAGTAATAGCACTCAGCCGCAAAACATCACCAGACTTCCTTCTGATTTGACCACATATTTTTTTTTCTTTTTCCTGCTCTTTGATTTTGGAAGGGCTGTCCTTTATATGTTCATTTACTTGAATTTAATTACTTCTCCCAGTTTCTCTTTGCATTTGAATTTTCTTATTGCTTTCAAAGTGCCACTATCATGAATAAAGCTGCAGCGAATACATTTGTGCATTTATACTCTTTTTTTTCCATTTTTTCCTCTTAGGTTAAATTTATAGTAATTGAGAAAATCAACAAAACAAGTGAACTATCAGTGTTATTATGCAGATAATAAAATAACATTTTAGAAAAATTAGAAATTGCATATGTAGAAATAGAATCTAAAAAATGCTCTAATTTTCTCCACATGAAGAAGTGTCTGTTTTAGATCAGACATGAACAAGAAAAGAAATAAAATAATTAGAAAATAAATAAAATAAATAATTTTAAATCCAAAATTAATCCAGGCAATAAAACTTTTGGAAAGTACAAAAAAAAGCAAAATAGAATAACTTTAATTTAGTAATATTTAAAAAAAAATTAAATAAGACAACTATAAAAACTTTGAATGTATGAGCAACACTATTTTATATTTTTAGTCCCAGAATAAAATAAATCACTTAATTCATACAGTTGTTGAATTATCAAATAGAGATATCTAGAAAATTAAAAATTAGTCAAAATTCTATGCCCAGTATATTTCTAATTATAATATACATAAAATGTATAATTCAAATTAGAAAATAATCAGCATGAAAATCATAAAACTCAAATCAGCAAAATTAAAGTCAATATTTTAAAGGAGAAATAATACATAAGAAGATAAATATGTTGTTAAACAGATATGTAAGCCCTTATAAAAATTAAAAACACTTGTAATTTTAGCAGCTAGATGTAACTTTATGTTATTCAAACACCCTGACTGGTTAATACATCTACAGCATCATGCAAAAACAATTCGGTAAATTCACTAATGCTCATTTTTTTACTGAATATCAACAAATATATGCCAATTACTGTCATTTTCAGGTAGCTGATTTTTAATGCAATCAAAACTAAGATTTTTTTATGTGTGTTTTTATTGTTTTGCTTGTTTCTTTCTTTCTTTTGTGTTTTGTTTTTTTCCCCCTTCTAAGAAAAGAGCTTGGTCTTCAGAGTCAGGGCCCTTGGTCAAATCTGGTCCTAGCAGGAACTGTGTGCTCAATATGTCATTCACAGGTATCTGCTCTGCTGGACCTTTGGGTGGACATCAATAAATAATTTCCCTGGTCTGTATACTATTTCCTCACCCTCAACCTATTTCCTCATAGTAGATGAAAATAATGGCAATTTAATTAGGTTTCCCCATCCTAGCCCAAACCCACTAGCAGACATGCATTTCCAGTTTCACAAGATGAATGACATTTCTTCTCATTGTGGTTTGTGTTTTCTGAACACCTCTTAGCTTAGGAATCATGTCCCTCCGCCACTCACTAGTCCATTCCACCACATCCTCATAACTGTTTTTCAAATAGGTAACAAATGTGGAGAGGAAGAGGGACATGGAGAAGGGTCTGTTTTAGCTCAGAAGCCCAGGTTTATCTGTGTGCCTTCCTCGGATGTTTTCCAGGTTGGGCTAGACCTAGATTCCTAGTTGCAGAGATAATGGGGAGATGTAGAAGAGACTCCCAGCATCCCTCCTGGGTCGGGAGGGTATAGCCTCAGACAAGTCCCTTGGTAAATGCCATTTGGTCTGGGAACTAACCTGCTGCCTCTCAAGGCCCAACTATAGGCTGCTGCCAGCTACATTAGGGAAGGTGAGAGTTTGGGGGACTGGGCCTTTGGCTCACTCCTCACTGCCATCCATTCCAGAAGCCTGGCTTCCAGGGACCGTGGAAGGTGTTGGTTAGGTGGAACTGTTCCAAGGAAGCAGTCAAAACACAACCATGAGACCAACCAAGGGCACCAACACTATGGTGCTGGATGTCAGAAAGGCCCCAAGGCCACCTGGCAGCAGTGCTTATTTCCAAAGCACTTCTCAGACATGAAGGTCATAGATATGATCACCAACAAAGCCGAATGGGTCAAAATCAACCCTCAGTATAAGAATTTGAACTGATCTATCTACCGAGAAACCATGAAGTTCTAATTTGGAGATTGTCTTCTCATGTTGGGACGCTATCCAGCAGAGGATGGACAGTGATGTCTGGAGATGAAAAGCAGGTAGAGGGGTTGACAGGATGTCCTCTGTGAAACCCAGGACTGGCACCTCAGGCTAGGCAGAATAACCTCCCTAGTGTCACTGGCTTTCTTTGAGTTCTTTTGTTCTTTTAAACTTGACTCCAAGTTGCCCAAGGGCCTAGATGCTTGTCCTATAACTCAGAACAGACTCCCCAGCAAACCCTGGAAACGCCTTTCACATGGTGCCTACCAGGTTGACAAAACAGAAGATCTGATTCATAGGTTGCAGTTATTCCAAGATCGCCCAGAAAAGTCTTGGCAGAACTGAGCAGGTGTTGACCAGAAACAGGCCCATATTCTTGCCATCACATTCTTCTTTCTCCCAGAGTAGAAAAGAATATCCCCCAATCTTGGACAGTCTGCCAGAATATCAACTATTGAGGAAGCTCTGTGCCTGAACCTGTACTAGTCTTTTCTAGACCCACTATCATACTTGAGTGTGGTCAGCATGCTGGAAGGATGAGATTACAGCAGCTCAGAGAGGGTTGGTGTCTTGTCCAAGGTCCACCAGTCAACCGGTAGAGGTTCAATTTGGATCCAGGTTTTCCTAACTCCAAATCCAGAACTCTTTGCTACACTGATTCCCTCAAAACTCAGGGGGGCTTAGAAAGCCAAGAGCCCTCTCTGATATCTTGTTTAATCTAAAATGTACCTGATAATGATGGACAATGCAGTTTACCACCTCTTAAAGAAATATTTTTCATTACTTACCAGATATTTATGATATTCCCATGGACCATTTCAGGAGTTCTTTAGTTTTTCTCAGATTAATATAATTTTTTAAAAAAAGAATTTTAAAAAAGTAGGACTCACATTTGGTTAGATGTCTTGGCACCAAATGGTAAGTGGTACCAGAAATGGCGGCTCTTCCTTGTAATCCACAGCCAATGATATGAGAAATGGGATGGGAAATGCCTTTTTATTCCACACAGCATTCCACCTGATGGCAACATCACAAATGACCACAGGTAAAATTCTAGAATCTTTTCTTAAAGGCTGTTCTCATTTCCTGGATTCTGACAGGCCACCCCCTGCTTTGCAACTAGCACCCTAAATTGGACCATATTATTTCTTCTAATTTGTTATTCTGGTTATTGCTTTCCTGGAAAAAGAAAAGGATCAAATAGATGGTTTTTCTGTTGGGGAGGAAGAGGGAAATTCCAGCCCTGAAGTTACTTTCTGATTACGGAAAATCTGCCAAGAACAGAATTGAATGCAGACAGATGGGCAACTCAAGACAGATGATATGATGGTGGAGCTGGAATGGCAAGATGAAGAGCTGTGGTCTTCTGGGGGCACTTGGGCATCCAGGCTTGTATAGACTGGGGCCTGGGTGGGGTCCTGACAGGCCTGGAATGATGCATGGAGTGTGTAGTGGGATGGGGTCTGTGGGAATCTATACGAACTATGGCAGAGAGAATGGATAGAATAAAGAGGTGTGATTTGATTTGATTTGGTGAAACATACTGAGCAGAGACCCAGTCTTGGGAATGGAAGGAGTGTCTCATGGAGACAGAGGTAGGGGGAAACAGTTGGAAAAGGAAACAAAGAGCACTGTGGAGCCTGAGGAACTGGATTCTGCAAATCCCTGCTGAATGAAAAGGAAATTTCAGGTGGAGAGGGCTCCTTCCCCACGCCCTTCCCAACATTGTACTTTGCTATAATTTTGTACTCTTTCCTTCAGATCAGCCATGGTTCAAATTGTATGTCTTTATTGTAGAAGTATAAATTGGTACGGCCTTTAAGAGAATGATTTGGCATTACATAGTAAAATTGAAAACCCTCATATTTCTTTATGAGAAATCTGTCTCATGGATATACTCACAAAAGTGCCAGAAATTTATGTCCAAAGATGGTCATGGAAACATCAGAGAACAAAGCCAGCCCCAGGGTGGCAGTTCAGTCAGTTATGATCATGCCATGATCATACTGATCATGAACAAACTCAATAGAGCAATATGAGCTGATCTCCAGGAGTCCAGGAGTGTTGTTGAGCAAGTAAGGCAACAAGGAGAATTGTAGGTGTGGTATGATTCCAGGTATGAGCAATTACAAATAAAATAATGCAAGCATATAGGCAGGCATTCGGGTAAGACTTTTCGGGATGATATACCAGAAGCCATTAACTGTGGATACTTCCTTAAGAGAAGCAGTGGTTTGGAGATTCATCTTATATTTCATGGTCTTCCATGGTGTTTGCATTTTTTTAAACCACATAGCTACATTATATTCAATGTCCAAAGATGGGGTAGGGGCCAAGGGAGGCTGAGATGTGGCTGTGGGAAATCCATTGTGGGTTGGGAGGAAGGGCCCTGAATCTTCTTCTGCAAGCCCAGAGAGTGTCTTCAAAAGCTACAGTTAAGGCAGCAGCACATGCTGAAGTCTTATGAGAGGGACAGTAACTGCAAGAATCTAACCTTTGGTAAGGTGGGACAGTGGTCTCACTGTCCTAGTGCCTGAGAGCTTCCATGTGCTTCGGGAAGCCCCAGGCTTTCCTGAATGTCCTGGCCCCCTGAAGTTGCTGAAAGCCCCCCTTTCCTCATTCATGTGCATGCCTTGGAATATTTGGTGACCACCATAATTTTTTATCCCACAGGAAATACCCCAGCTTCGACAGGACGATGCTGCAGAGGTGGCAGGTATGGTGGCTCCTCTGGAGGGAAATCCTGTGGGAATGCAAATCAGAAAATAACTCAAGCCCCAGTGATAAGAGAGAGAGAATATGCAGATTAATTAAGAAAGGAGCTTGTGTCTTTAATTCACCAAAATGTCCCATATCTTTCCCTGACAAGAGTTCAGTGACGGAAGGTGATTCTTGAGCATTTGGGGAGTGTGTGTGTGTGTGAGTGTGTGTGTGTGTGTGTGTGTGAGTGTGTGTGTGTGTGTGTGTGTGTGAGAGAGAGAGAGAGATGTATACTGTGGGTGCCTCTGTGTGCACACTCCCCTTCCCTGAAGATAAACACATATACACACACTTTGGAGAAGGGTGGTGAATACCAAGGGTCACTTCTTGTTCT